GGGGCTAAGACAGTCGTGATAGGCAAGTGTAGGGTTATTTTGAAGAGCACAAAAGAGGACACATTTGCCAACTTCTCCTTTTAACCATGAATCACTGACAACTCTCATTTGAAATACTCTATGTAGGCTTTCAAAGCTGGTAGCAATCTTCTTAATTTTCAACAACAAAATAACAATAATACATATTGCTCCCTTGCTTGCCACATGACAGTATTTGAGCTCATGTTTACATCTTTGTGCACAGAACAATTTATTAAACTGTTAAACATGCACATATGGACTCTCCTTAAGGGCAGGGGGATGTTAACTCTCGCCCTCCCGGACTCCTTTGTCAAGATCTTGTAGCTGAGCCAGCGTCCTTTTAGTTCAGCCACAAGAGAAGGGTTTTATGTAGGATGTCGCTAGCTTAAGATGCTGCTCTGTTGGGATTCTCTGCTCTAGGCTAGCTTAGCCAGGTGCCTCAGATCTGAGTCTAATGCTCTGTGCTTTCCCCACAATCAAACAGTATATAAATTTTATGAAATAAAGCAAAATCTATAAAATTGAGGGGGAAACCAGGATAATTGTCTGGAAAAATAAATTTGTGACCTGCGTGAAACACTTGAGAAGATAGAAAGAATGACAAAAGACAGCACAGATAGTTCTGAAAATGAAATCCTTAAAGTGTGGAATTATTTGCCAAATAATTTTAAATCAATGAAAGTCCTTGGGATTGCTTTCCTTACTTTGTTTGGATAATCTTATGCTTGTGAGCAGCTGTTTTCAGCTTTGAATTATACCAAATTTTACACCAGAAACAGACTGACTTGAGTGATGCATGTGTTGCTCTCAAACTTACAAAGTAGGAGCCAAGGTTAGACAAATTAATCAACATGCATACAGCAGCAAAAATCACATTAATTGTTCAAAAGTATGCCAAATACAAACTTTTACCTTTCAATAAAAAGTTGTTTCTTTTCTGAAGCTCTGTTATTGTGAATTTCTTTTAAGATCAAAGCTGTTAATGTTATGAGTTGTTTTAGCGATAAATAAGTGGGTTTTGGGTTTGGGCACTCGGTCCCTAAAAGGTTTGCCACCACTGGTCTATAGCAGAAATGGAACTCAGACTGGTGTGCAGGTTCTTCGCAGGGCCAAGCTCGGCCCCAGTCCAAGCCTTCAAACCCTCTCCCAGTTCATTCATTGGGACATGGAAAGAACCCAAACGCCAGTAGAGGACTGTTACGCAGAGTGACGCCATTGATGGGGGTCCCAAAGTCTGCAGAGCAGACGGTTCAACACCCATGAAATATCAGTCCCCATCCCTCCTGTGAAATTGTTCCTCTCCTGGAAATTTACCTTTCTGAATCTGTTCACTGAATAGCAGAGCATCTGAGGAAGCAAAAATATATAAAGTATAAGGGCAACACTTCCACCAGAAATAAATCTCCGTACAAAAGTAACACTTCATAATGTAGCATCCTTAAATTCTAGTATTATTATTAAATAGTAGAAAATAATTAAAAACAAGAAAATCATAGGAAGAATCTATGAAAATAACTAAAGCTTTAAAAACACAGCAATCATAAAACAAGCTTTACAAATAGCAGAATAAAAACATTCAGCATGAATCCTGCTGGTCTCTGAACTTTGTCCCTAAATTGGGCTCTACATTGGAGGACTGGAGGGGAGGCAGAGCAATAGGAATCCCGTAAAAGGAGGCAGAGGGGAGATGGAGGCAGCCTTAACATCTTCCCAAGTAAAGTGGTGGGGGAAACTACTAAAAACAACATTGTGAAACGTAAGGAGAAGCAAAGTTTGATGAGGAAGGATTGGCAGAGCTCTCAGGCAAAAGGAAGTCCTTCCTCACAAACCTTCTACAAATCTTTTAGGTTCTTCACAAGCATAATTGTGCCCTTTGGGGCTCATGTGCTCTTGCTTCCACTCTCAATGGGGGAACTCTCAGGAGATCTTGAAGGCTGAAGCCCTA